CAGGTATTGTAATTATTGTAATATAATATAAATATTTATTGTTTTGTCTAAATTTTACTGCATTGCAATCTGCTGGCTTCAGTTAAGAGTAAAATGAATACAATTGTTGAAATCTGTTGGGGTTTGAGGAGGAAAGCCTTTGAGTTAAAGAGGTTTTTAATGTTTTGTTTCTATAGGAATTCTGACAGGGACTTGGAAGAAAATTCAACATAAGGAGGTACTTGAATTAAGGAGGTTTGAGTTGTCAAATTGAACAGCATAAAATAACATAAAGCATTAAAATAGGATATGAACAGAAATGGATTTTCTTTTCAAATTTTCACTCAAGAGTAATTTTTACTCACGCCAATGTGGTTGCACAATTTATTTTTTATTTTTAAAAATGTATACCCAGATACCAGGTGAACCCCACTTTTCTGCCTTGATTTTCCTTAAAAAAGAAAAGAAGTTTGTGCATGGTATCCAAGTAAACATGACATTCATTGCATTTTTTTCAATGCTTAATAGAACAAAGCACAATTGATACTTTTTGTCTCCTCAAAATAATTGGCATGGCTATAGTAGGTGTCTGCATGCTTTCTTTCAATGGGGCTTCCAATAGAGATTTGTTCCATTATTTTTTCAATGCTTAATAGAACAAAGCACAATTGATACTTTTTGTCTCCTCAAAATAATTGGCATGGCTATAGTAGGTGTCTGCATGCTTTCTTTCAATGGGGCTTCCAATAGAGATTTGTTCCATTTATGTATGGCTTTGAATGAATGAGAAACAATGAGTCAAGCTTCTCAAGCAGTGAAATTTCTTTGCTCACTCCACATTTCTTGTTAATTGTCCCAAGATTTGTTAGATAAGATGACAAAGAGAATCATAGTGAATGTGCTGACAATTGACTGCACTTTTTTTTGCTTTTCTATTTTGGCGCTCCATTAGTCAAAATCTCTCAAATGTGGAGTTACAAAAATCACCAAGAAATTCCATTTCTGCGTGAAATGGTCAAGAAATGTACTGACAGTATTCATTTTTTAAACGCAGGTGCATTCCATGGGAGAACATTTGGAGCTCTGACGACAACACATTCCAAGCCGATTCACAAACTTGACATTCCTGCATTTGACTGGCCCATTGCTTCATTCCCGATTTACAAGTACCCCTTGGAAGAGTTCAAGACAGAAAATGAGGCTGAGGATCGGAGGTGCTTAGAAGAGGTGCCCAATTTGTAAAAAAAAAAATTTCGCGATTTCAATTTTTGCTACAAGGGTAGCATAATTGCCAAGCAGCGTCCAGCTGTTATGGTATTTTTCAAAAAAAATTTTAAAGCAGTCAGAAAATCTTATCACGAGAAAAGATACTTCGCATCTTAATTTGTCTTGTAAAGCACACGGTATACACTGCTGAGCACATAAAAATCAAACATCAAAAATCAAATTTTGTAACCATGACATCCTGGCCATATTCTATGCAAATCATCACAAGGGTTTCTATAACGTTACAAATGTGTTGCTTCCTAATCAAACCCCAACAGATTTCAACAATTGTATTCATTTTACTCTTAACTGAAGCCAGCAGATTGCAATGCAGTAAAATTTAGACAAAACAATAAATATTTATATTATATTACAATAATTACAATACCTGTATTTATTTATTTATTTATTTATTAAATAAATGTAATAAATCCAAAAATGAATAGTCTCAGTACAAAAATGACCAGCAGGGGTCATTCTTTTTCAGGTTCAATGTCTCATAGAGCAACGCGAGAACACTGGGAAAGATGTTGCAGGGGTTGTCATTGAACCAATACAATGCGAAGGAGGGGATCATCATCCATCCACAAATTTCATGCAGAAATTGCAAGCAATAACCAAGAAGGTGAGTAATTTTTACTCACCCCTGGTGGAGTTGGCCTTCATCTCCAAAACCATTTTGATGTTTTTGAATTGAGTGCGATTATTGTTGCAGGCGGATGTTGGGTTCCTTGTGGATGAAGTCCAGACAGGTTGTGGTAGCACAGGGAAAATGTGGTGTCACGAGCACTACCATTTGGATGGCCCACCTGACATTGTCACATTCAGCAAGAAAATGCTTACCGGTGGCTTTTACCTCTCCAAAAAATACAGGTTATTTGATTTTGATTCTTCTTGAAGTTTGCACACAGTTATATGCATCCATGCAAAATATGGCATGTTCTTAAAATTATACCAAGTGGAGTAACTGTACAGTATTTCTCTGTGCTGATGGTACCAAAATGTAAGAAATGACCTGTGGGTAGTGTGTTAAACAATGAACTTTTAACAACAAGCCATTTTTAAATGTAAGATAAAAATTAGTGTTGTGAAATTTTCCAATAAGTTAAGCTTGAATCAACTTAGCTTCAGTCCGAAGTCAGGTCCTTGGTTCTCAAAATTTCTTGAAATATTTCTGCCTTGAAAATTTAACTGAACTTACAATAATTCACCTCAAAATTAAAACTGTTCTGTGCCACTAAAATAAGCTCCAGGCACATGCAATTGCTTTGAGAATAAATTTACTCAGAACCTGTCAACTTCAGATTTTTTTTTAACAAGGTTGTGGATGATTTAATGCAGTGTTCCCCAAACTTTTTGAGCCCCTACATCATCAAATTTGTATGTACTGTAAATGTTTCCAGACCAGAATAATTTTTTTTAACTTTCATATTGCAATAGCAATGAGAGATCAAGCCATGGGTTTAATTCGAGTTTGGTGTAAAATTAATTCAATGCCTATTCAGATTCACAATGTTCATGACTTCAAAATTTTGCTACTTGAACATTGGATTTTAATCTAACATTTCTGTGTCAGGATACTCAGGAGTGAATATTTATATGATGGAATTGTGCAGTGAAAAACCTTTATGAATCACAGGCCGAAACAAGGGTACAGAGTCTTCAACACCTGGATGGGGGACCCTGGGAAGATGCTGCTCTTGGAGGCTGTTTTGCAGACAATCAAGACTGAGAATCTTTTGGACAATGTGACAAAAACTGGCAATCACCTCCTCAAGGGTCTCGAGGATCTTCAAGCTCGCTATCCACAGTATCTCAATTCAGCTAGAGGACTAGGATTCATTGTTTCTGTCAACTGTTTCACTGCTCTGCGCAGAGACAAATTCATGCATAAGTTGAGGAAACGAGGTGAGAGAAGCAATAATGAGGGAGGGATTATGGTGTTTCAGAATCCTTTCATTGGCTGTAGGATCTTCTCAAAAATATTTGTTTTTTCTTGCAATGACATTTTTTAAAATTGATACTACCATATTTACTCAAGTACCATGCACCCTCAAGTAAGGCGCGCACAGGGGTTTTGCAGTGGAAAATTTTGCAAAAATCCTATCCCCAAGTAAGACGTGCACCCCAATGTTTAGTGAATCTAAAACCATAAAATTTCAAAAATAAAAACCAAAAATTTGACTTCAGGCATGAATTGAACAAAAATCTAATCAATTTTCAACTTTTTCAGTACAAAAATGTTTTCTTCTTATATTTGTTCCAAACTTCTCCATTATAATTAGGTATAATGCAAAAATAACTTCCTAAAACTTCTTGAAAATGTTGTACCTGCTTATGACGCGCACCCCTTTTTTTCTTCTGAAATTCAGGAAAAAAGGTGGGCATGGTACTTGAGTAAATACGGTATATCAGCCACTACAGGTCCCTAGATATTGAGGAATCATTCTAGATCAGGGTTGCCAACTCTACGACTGCCTAGTGCAAGAACATTATTTTGAACCTTGCTTGAAACTCAGCATTTCCAAAAAAGATATTGTGAACAGAACAAAATTTATTGCTACTTTGCAATGAGAGAAACCTGTTTTTTTGGACTTGATTCTGCATTGCCAAAGTGATCTCAAAGTGCAGTTTTTTATGCCAATTTGAGAGCAGAATTGAATTACAGGATATAAAAAATACTGTATCATCATCCAATAAGTAAAAAGAAATTGCGCTTTGGGCAGAAATGAACTAGAAAACTGTAGCCCTCTGCACTTTGCATTATCCTGTATATATAAAAAAAGAAAAACTAACCCTTTTCTTGGTTTGAAATTCCTGTTGGCTTGTCAACTCTGAAGAATTATTTGCAAAAAATACTTTTCAATGCATACTCCAGGAAATTTCTGATGTAGCTCATCAACATGATGAAAGCAACCATGTCTGGATTCCCCTTAAAACAATTCATTGAAACCACTCTTTGAATCAAATGCTTTTCCCATCAAACCACCCAAGTTGAACTTCCTGGAGGAATCTAACAGTTCAAGCAATTTGAAGCCCAGATTATCACCTGTTACAATTTCCTTTAAAATTATTTTTTCATTCCCCCACCCAACTTATATGCTTGGTTCCCCAACTGGAAACCCTTCTGATTCAATTTTTTTTGCTGCTGGTTCTGTCAAGTTTGGCTTGAAGCATAACTTGGGAGTGCAAGAACTGGGAGAAGTTGAAATATGATTGAATAATTGCTCTTTTCCTAAACAGCGATGACTGACCAAATCTTCAAACCGATTCCCATTTTTTTTTAGTGGCTGATCTGTGTGTGTTGTCATTCGCAGGTGTCCATGTCGGTGGTTGCGGCGTTGACGTGCTTCGACTGAGACCGGCTCTCAACTTCACCCAACACCATGCGGACATTTTGTTGGACTCGCTGAAGAGTGTGCTTGCAGAAGAAGCTGGTTGAAAGGATGAGGAGAAGAATCAGAAGAGGATGAAGAAAAATTGTACTCCTTGTTTCCGTCATTTTGTGGTAATTGGCTTCCATATGCGTTTTAAAATGAAGACATTTCCTCAACTCGGGTGCTTCCAATCAATGGCGGGAATGTGTTGCTGCTCATTGTTCCCTGTTTTATTCCTTGAAAATTCATTCAGGCATTGCTTGCCTTTTTACGCGCCGCGGAATTGTGTCTTCCTTGAATGCTAGGTATATATAGCCATACTTCATCATCCAATGTTCGCCCAGGTATATATATATATTTGTGCAATATGGTCTTCCAACCGAATTTGAGTCATTATATATTGGCGAGGAATCTTGAAGAGAAATGTGTGTGGAGCATCAGCAAATGTGTAATAGAAAGCAAAATGGGAAGTGCTGCAGGTTTTTTTTTGCGTTTGTTTTTTCATCAATTGTGCTGCTGAACTGCGTAGCATTTGTAGAAGGAACGTGTGTTTGATGACATTTTATGGGATGTGTTGAGGACGAAATGAACCTTCTTGTGTTGGGTATTTTCTTTTCTTTTCAAACAAGTCTGTTAACGCCTGATTTTATGCCATGCACGGGTTTGGATCAACAACCTGAATGATTGAAATTACAATTGAGTGAAAATTCCATAGACGTATGCATGAGACAGGAAATTGGGAAATTCTCCTGCGCCATTTGACTTGGTCTTAGTTATGAATGTAAATATCACTTACAAGAGGCTCCCATGAGGTTTGTCAAAATATTTGTAATTGCTGAATTATTTAACAACTCTGCAAGTGGCAGTTTAGGAATTTTGATAAAATTTTTATAGCAATTTAAAATCTGATCCTGGAAAAATAGTTAATCTAATTTTTGGGACATGCAACTGCCAGTTATGATTCAAAACTTGCACTTTTGACACTTTTCTTGCTGGCTTTTAACCCTTCTGCGGTGGAGGCAGGATATATTAGAAATATGAACCAACATGCACATAAATCAGTGAAAACATGGTCTGATCTGCTGAGACAAAGCTCAGAAAAACCCAACATTTTATTTAAATTGTGCCAAAACATTTCCACGAAAATATAAAAAATAAATACATACATACACAAATACATACATAAATATATTTTCGTAAAAAAAAATTGTGTGGCATTTTTTCCTGCATTCCAGTACAGTATTACTATTTAAGGATTTGGAAAACAATACAATGAGACCCCAAAATGCAGACACCCAGACATAGAGACAATGTGACTTGGGGACATTTGAAAATTCAAAAAATAGGGACAAACATCCTGACAACACTTCAACATATCAACACTTTCTCAGCATTTCTAGAAATGTTTGAAATTTTAATTTTTCAAAAGTTGTATGTCTCTTGAACAAAATGAGCTATTTATATTCACAGAAGTTGAAACTGAATATTATTACATATTCACTTGAATTTATGATCAAAAAAGGTTTCGTGCTTATTTTTTTTTTTTAATTTCTGTGCACAGGATAGCAAGACTTATACTTTTTGTTTGTATTTTTGAGTCCATTTAATGCAAGAGGATCATATTCTGTGTGGGTTTCTTTATTCTGGATAGTTTTATTCTGTATCTGTGAGTTGAGAAACACATTTTATTTGATTCATTTTGGGATTTCTTCCTAATTTTCTATGAACTGGAGAACCAATTAAATGAGTTACAGTTGAAGTCTTCGGGAAAATGAGGTCCAACATGCAGACATTCCAACATGCTGGACACTGTTCCAGCACAAATTATGTCCACATCTTGGGGGTCTCACTGAATATAGAAATAAACTTGGTTCCATTGTAAGGACTTTAACAGAAAATAATCAATAGCAAGACCTGGGCTCATCCATTTCAACAGGTTTAGTTAAGAAGAAGCTCCTTTTAGCTTTGCAAGTGCAATGGAAAACTTCAATGTGTTTGAGAGTGGTCCCAAGGGGGGGGGGGGATTGAGCATTTTATTTGAGTTTTTCTGCAAAACTTTGAAATACTGTATTGGTGGCAAACAATACCAAAGCAGCCATTAAATATACTGTAATTGAGAGTGCTGTCCTTGAAGTTTAAACTAAACTTATAATTTGAATCAGCAGCAATAATTTCTGCAAAGGCCCAGAGTAGAAGCTAGTATGGTGGAAGTAGATGCATCTGCAGAGGAGAAAGATAAATACTGTAGTCCACTTGTATTTCCAAGTACTGCTCCATCAGAGAAAAAATCAATATGCCATTGCTGTAATGAAGCCTGTTCTGATAATATATAGAGTAAAAAATTCACAAAGTTGCCAATTGAACAGAAGAGAGAAAATATGAGGGAATTGTCTCTTTTTTTCTTGGTGCCCAGTGGCAAATCATGGGTGTCTAGTAGCAAATCANATTGCTGTAATGAAGCCTGTTCTGATAATATATAGAGTAAAAAATTCACAAAGTTGCCAATTGAACAGAAGAGAGAAAATATGAGGGAATTGTCTCTTTTTTTCTTGGTGCCCAGTGGCAAATCATGGGTGTCTAGTAGCAAATCATGTAAGTAATCATTGAAGAAAAAAATGTACAGTGTGAAACAGGTAGGAGGCATCATACCTCAACTGCTGAAAATAGACAGGGTGCCCCTACATCACAAATGCGAAAAGGTAATGTGCCTTGTCAGCTTACTTTCTTGTTGAATACAGTAGTTCGTATTTTATATTAGAGTTTAAACGAAAATGATTGAGTTCCGGACATCGCACACTAACCAAGAAAAACACCTCATTCAGAAACCCCAGTGTTTCCTGAAGCATGAAACAACGACCTAAATTATCCCCGGAACAAGTACTGTCCCGCCTTTTCCTCGACACACATGCTCGAAAGTGCATCAGCCCAGTGGAAAGTAAAAATTATCTTCCACGAAAAAAAAATAATAATAAAACCCCATCACTAAAGTGGCACAGTACTGAAAATGTTGAGCTCGGATGATGGATGGTATTGTGAAAGCATCTTCCCGAATTTTTCCGTCATTTGCAAACAGCAGAATTAAAGCTGGAAGAGAAAGTTTGAGCGAACCACGCCGTTCTACACGTACAAAGAGGGTCATTCCACTTCGGTTCTCACTTTCGAATTACAGTACTGAACGTTCTCATTCATTAAAGCCATTGATGGAGGGAAAAAAAAAAAAACCCCGGGACGGTTTCACAATGACTGCACTCAGCATGGTTACGCACGAAGATTCGAAAAAAGTCGACATGAAGAAATGGTGCATGAGATGACGTCGAAGTCAAGTTCTCAAGATGAACACATCTGATACAGTGAAGGCAGTTTGCCGTCACAAATTAAAAGCTAATTACGTTTCAGATTCCACACGGAGACTCAAAATTCCCAATATCTACTCATGCCCAGAGCTACCCTTGAACAAGTTTCAATTATCTCATTATCAATGACCTCATTCATCATAGGTGTTATTGACTTCGGCGCCCAAGAATTAATTTCGCCATAATACCGTTCTTGACGGAACCTCAGGAAAACAGCCTTATTGTAATTCGTTCAAGAATCTGTTCCAGTTCAAAATTCAGAATTTTAAATTTTCACCGATGAAGGAACAGAAGATTTAAAAACCTTTCTGAGAAAAACCGCAGCGACTAAAATTCAATGCATGAAAAATACCATGATCAATGACCCGGAAAGAATCCAACTTACTACGGAATGTAAATTCAAATTCATGGATAGTGAGATCGGCGTTGAGTCCTGCTTTATATTAAAATACCTGCCTCCTTTCTACGGATCTTGTAAACATTTATTCACAGGGGATCCGTAGGCTGTTATGCAGAATGACGCGTAGAAACTACAGGGAGCCAAAGAAAAGTTACTTTACAGAGGGAAAGCCGGCATTATTAATTTATTGGCGCGCTTAATGCCTCGGGTCAAAAGCATCTTGGACATAAAAAACGACTATAAGGGGTCAAAAGGATTTAAAACTTTACAAAATTACATTAGCATTCAATTTTCTCTGTACATCCCATCACGGAATTAAAAATACAGCATTAGACTAGAACGAACGTGCGTAAAATTAAAATATAACAGCGAGTGCAAATTAAATATAAATTACAAAAAAAAACACTTGGACTTTGCAATGAACACATTGAAATGAACACATTTCAAGTGAAATATTTCTTGGATAAAAAAAAATACTTTAACCCTACGGGTGAAGACTCTCTAAAGAGATCAACGATTTTCTCCGTATACGACCTTTTTGGACCCATTGGGTTCTCTACATAAGTTATAGAGCGCTCTCTACAACTAAATTCAATGGACCAGAAAAAATTGCTACACAGAGAATTGCGTACAGTATATTTTGGGAGGGCTGTCACAAAAATTTTTAGAGCACATTTTTCTGGTCCTTCGAATTTTGTTCCTGAGTGAGCCCACCTGTGCAATCGATTTTCATGACAGCACATGAAAAATGCACAAAAACACACTAGCCAACAACAACAGAACCTCAAATTGAGCCCTTCCTCCAGAACTGCTCAACAAGAAAGGGTAGAAGAAATCGTGAGGCAAATAAAAATCCAACAAGGGAAACCTAAACGGTGCAGCAAATCTAGGCTCAATCTCTTCCGAAACATCCAAGAACCGCACCTGGCTAAAGAGTACGGTTTTCCCACCTTGTTCAACATTTCCGAAACCAAACTTAACTCGGCAGCCTAAAATTTTCCACTGCGGTTTCCCACAACTCCCAAATCTTGAAACCACAAAGTCGACGTCAACCGACCTCGCGATTCCCACACAAAGCTCATTACCATTTTCGTCCAGCACCGCATTCGACACAGGGATTTCATCGACCACGACATTAACCCAATCCTTCAGGAACTCGGGCTCCGAATCCCCATAAACAGCGACCAGTTCCGGAATCTCATCGACTAGAACTTTCTGAACACTCGTCCCTAGACTTGAACACGAACTAAAATTTGCCACAAACTCGCACCCGCTGATGGTCTCCACTCCGAATCTCATCAAATCGCGTTTAGTAGAATCACACTTGTGGCCTAATCCAAGGACAGAAAATCGCTTTTCTCGAACACCGACAAGGGACGAATTTGAAATAGAAACTCCAAACCTCACCGGAAACTCGGCTAAATAACCGGGGCGACCAGAGAACGAGATTCCAGCGTCATCTTCCAACGAAAACTTCACCGAAGACTGCAGCAACACATCCGTTGCGCCAGGTGTCACTCCTGCTCGGGTCTCCACTGCCGCGTCAAGAACTTCATTGTATCGATTTAATTTGATCAGGAAACTCAGCGATGTAGCCAAGCCGAGTTCACCTCCACTCGCCGGAACCACTGTCACTCTCACAGGCATCAGATGATTCGTCAAGAGTTCAGTCACGTTCCACGTCTCGTTGAACAGAGAGAAAGTGCGCGAGGTTGGAGAAAATGTGTCGTTGGAACCTGCTGGGACTCCGCAAATGGACTCCAGCTCTCCAACTTGCGGCTTCACATAGAACAAAGGTTCATGATTCACTTCCCACGCCTTGTTCAACGCCAGGCGGCACGAAGACTCGACACTTTCTCCGATTTCAAGACCCCTTGAAACGCATTTCGAACCGGGTTTCAGAACTTTCGGGTGGGAGAATATTTTCAGGTACTGGAAGTTGTTGGGTGCTTGGAAGAACAACAGTTGATCCGTTCTTCCAGCGTTCGAGTCCAGCAAATCACCCCACTTCATCAGCTTTTCGAGAGCATGACGACACGGTTCAGAAATGGTTTTGAGATCTGGTTTTGCTTGGGAAACAGAAATACTCTCGGTTGAAGTCAATGGTGGAATGTTAGTCGTCACGGTTTCCGCGCACACGACCCCAAATACGCCACAAATGACGGTCAACAGCATCATCTGGAAAACAAACAATTATAATTTAATCACATCCTGAAGAATATCGTAGGAAGAACGTGTAGAACTCGAGAGGAAAGTTGCCAATACAAGACGTTGCATTTCGTGAGGACTGAATTAAAATAAAAAGCATCCAAGCTTGCAAATATAGAAAATTCTGAAAGACGAAAACGCGCACTGAGGCCAGACAATTCACATTTATTTATGCACAAGAGTTCACATTCGTTCAAACGAGTTTCACGAGGTCCTCTCCGGCAAGTTTCACGACACTAAGTCTTCGTCTTCCTCATCCGCCCATTCTTCCGCCACGTTATCCTTCGAATGAGAAAAAAATATACCATTAATACTGTACAATCATTTGAAATATCCAACAGGCAACTCACTATTTTATTGTTGGTGCAGTTTGTGCAGAAGCAATGGTTAGTACAGGAAGCATTTCTTTTCCTGCATCCACACCGATTTTTCGAGCAATCACCTTTGCATTCACACTTTTGGACCTTCGCACCACGTCCCTGAATGAACAATTAGATCCTTAAGATTCAGTAAAATACAAGAACTACGTGAACTGAGCACAATGTTGGATCACTAGAATCCCTACCCGAGGATGAAATTAGTTTCTGAAAATTATTTTTTCGAATAGCAGCGAATATCTGCAAGTTACCCAAAATCGGTGGTGATGTGATTTTCCATTCATTCGTCTTTTGAGACTCCCTTTTCTACAGTTTTCGTCATGGTGCTCGCTATTAGGTGCAAATCCTAATTTAATCCTAGCTGTTGAGATACTGTGTTATCTCGGGATGCGCAATTATGCAGAAGTTGAAAGCAGAATGACGACTATAAAAGTAAATTACGGTATTCAATACAATCTCATGCTTCAGTAATGGGTTCTCTAATGAGAAGATATGATTTTCAAGTGTTACTGCGGTGATCGCAAATTTTAAACCGTTCTATTTCTTGAACATCGTGGGCAGCTTCAACACTAGCTTAGTGAACGAATTTCAGAAATTAATAACATAATCCTGAATTAAAAAAAAAAAACAGAAGCATTACCTTCAAGGTTTTCCGCTGGATCCGAGAATGGCAAGCACTGACGCGTTTCTGCAGAGGCGTCTTCTGCCAATCAGGGTCTCTCTTACTGTCATCTTGATGCATGGGAGACGAAGGAGACTCATAGCTGAAGAAGTTAGCATAAACTCCTTTCAAAGGTCGGGGCGTGGGATGAACAAACTCCTCAG